TCTGTACTTGAGACTCCTTAATTTACTTTAATGACTCTTTCTGTCAAGCATAAGGAAGTAGGTAGCGCAATTCAGCACTGTCCTTAACTCTGCCCCCCAAGAAACTCTCTTTCTCAACAGTAATCCTGAATTGCAAATGAAGCTCTCAAGGGTGGATTTACCCGAAAGAGGAGGAGGAGGCAGCGAGGCGCCTGTGGCCGCGCTGTCAGCACCATCTGGTTCTGCGCTCGACATCGAGGTCGTGGGACACAGCTGCACAGCCCTCCCTTCCTCTGCATCCTCATTCAGATCACATCTAAATCTGGCCCTGTGCCCTAAATGCAACACTTTTAGGTGTGCAGGTTAATAATTAACCTTGAGCATAGATCCGGACTTTGATGATTTCACTTCTAACTTCTTGCATATATGCTTTTCAGAATAAACCACATAGAATTGTTGTTTCTAGGAAAAATATTAAGTGCTTCCCAAGAAATTGCCACATCCGATTGAGTAAGTACTGTCCTCCCAACCTCGGCCCATTTCTTCCTGCTGCACAGTGCCTGGAACGGGTTGGTTTGTTCCGCTTGCTCCTGATGCTGGTGAGCCGTGTCTCTCCCGTCCTTTGTTGTCAGAGGAGCAGCCTTGGCAGCAGCTCACTCCATGCCTGACGGACAGCAGGACAAGCACCCCATGGATCTGCTAGAGGGACTGGCTGCCCCTGACTGGCCACTGCCCCCTCTGCAGACACCCTTATGCAGGGTGAGCTAAGCCTGAACTCCCCTATCTGAGAAGCGCAGGTTGCTTTCCCTTTCTTTGATTCCCTCTGGCAAAGCTCAGAAGATTGCCGGGGAGTAGTGGAGACTCCCGTTAAGCAACAGCAGGGTTTCTGATCTTATGTGAGGTGCGTAATTAGCTGGGTGATGTACGTGGCTACGTTTCAGGAGGGTGCTCATCTGGTATTGCATTTAGGTTAAGCCTGGGCCTCTGCCTAGAGAACGTGTTCCTCCTCACCTCCTCATGGCTGACCAACAGCTGAAGAGCTTGCACGTGCCGTGAATAGCTCTCGGCCTTTAATCTCAAGGGATCTTGTGTTAGGATTAAAAAGATTGTATGTTCAATGAAAAGGCTTATGTACATAGTTAATGTGTGTTTATTTTATTGCTGATCTTGTTGCACTTTCTGAGTAAGCCTCAGTAGATAAACGTAGATCATTTATTATATTAAAGAAGATAACATTATAGGTTATGGCATTTCGTGTTAAAGCAGAACATAGAAAATATTATACTCTCTATCGCAGACAGCTACACTAAACGATGTGTATACAGCATATTGAGATTACTGGCTAGTTCTGTTTTTCTGTCTTAAAATAGTCCAAACCTCCTGAATTGAAGGCAGACCTGTTTTGCACCTGTGACACTGGGGAGGCACCCAACCTCTTGGTGTGCTTGTGGCACGCTTCTTCCCGCTGTGGCATTCAGCCTCCTCCCCGGGCTCTAACAGAACAGCTCCCTTGTGTAAATGAATGTTACTCTGCCTGTCTTTCCTCTTGCTTTGTCTGCAGGCGAGCTGATACCGATGGCTCCTCCCGTCCAGACAGTCCTCCACTCTTGCTTGATATATGATTTGTCCTGTCTTGCCGGCCGTTTGCTTTACTGCCTGTCTCTTTACTTTTCCAGGATGGTGTAAACGATGACTTCTTTTCGTAAGAAGCAAACGCTTAATTTCTTTCTGAATTTTGCTCTGTATGTTAATGCCCTACTTCGTGTGAGCCAAAACATCTGCCTTTGGTTTCATAATCTGTAAATGGTTCCTGGTGTTGACCTTTGAGCACAGCAAGTCGATTCCCGAAACCATGGTCATTCCTGAGCATCGCAAACACCTGCTGTAAAAATGTTATGCTGCATTTCTGAATCTGAAATAAACTGTAACTCTTGATGGGCTTTTATTATTACTTTCTGGATGTGCATGAGTGGTCTTCTGTCTCTAGCACCATCATCTCAGCATGCCGCACTCCGCCTCTGTTGGGGCGGCAGTGAGGATTTATCGGAGATGCGTGTTGCATGGACATCACTGGAGATGTCATTAAAAGGGGAGAAGGGGGAGAAGTAACCCGTGGGAAGCGTTCAGCCTGCTGCCCTGCAAGGGGCTTGGAGTGCCGCAGAGATGTTTTGCTGGGAAATGGGTGAATGTTTTTCAAGACATACCTGGTATTCATTTCTTGTTGGGGAAAGCATGTTTTGGGGGAGATTCAGAGCTGAGCAGAAGACCCGACTGAGTCCTCCGGAGCAGGAGCTGGAGTAAAACTGTGCGTGTGTACGCATTACGTCTGGAAGGCATTTCCCCCTAAAGTGGTTGTGTACGAATGCACAGATGTCTTGATTACTCAATTGCTCCTTCAGATCAGTACGAGCCAAGTAACTGGAACGGATGCTTGGAGGAGATGGCCTGTAGGGCACAACGAGCACAACAGCTGCCTGCGGGAGAGGACATTTCTCACTGAGCGCAACAGTCACTATGTTGGTCCTTAGACAGGTTTTGGGAAAGGGGGGAGCAAAAGGTGGGATGAGCCAAGCAGCAATGTCCCCGTTGTATCCACTTGCTTACTGTAACGTTTCGAGATTATTTTATTTTAATAGTCTTTAATGGCTATGCCTGAGGCAGTCTGTGCGCTCCCCCCTCAGTGAAGAGTGGTGTCACACGTGTCCCATCTGGCTGGAGCACGTTACGTAGCCCCGTATGACTTTGGTTCCCGGAATGTTGGTCGGCGACGCGTCAGCGCTCTGTGCTGGGTAACAGGAGGAGCATCCGCTCTTCTCTGACGGCTGCACTGGGCCATCAGCTGCCCAGGGTCTCTCCTGCTAGGCTTGGCAGTAGATTCATTGCGCTGCCGTCACCCACATTTTTAACCTTTCCCGGCAATGTCCCCTCCAGATACCCCAATCCAGCCCATAGGCCGTCTTATTTAATTATTCACAATTTCATCAGAATCTCACTTAAAAAAGGTCTACTCCAAGCACAGTGTTTGAAGCAGATAGTGGTGCAAATTTTAAGGTTGGCTGGCAAAAAGTTCTTCCAGAGGATATTATTTGCTGCAAGAAAATTAGAAAGCCTGTGACCAGCGACCTCCACGCTTGCGATGCGATTGTCCTAGCTCTCTGGCGCCAGCGAGTCAGATGGGAAGCGGTGAGGATGAAAGCCGAGGCTGTGCTGATAGCCAGCTGATTCTAATCTTGCTCTTGCTCTTTTCCTTAATGTGCATGTTCTGTGCCTTTTTCTCTTAACCCATTTTATTAAGATAATTTTGTATATGAGTCATTTCATTGTATCTTGTTTTAAATCTCTTCTCCCTCCCTCCCTGTGAATTTTGGGTTATTTTTTGTCTTCTTCCTAGGCGACCTCCACCAGCTGTTCCAGGAAGATCGTCCTAACACGCATTTCTTTTTTGTTACATGCAATCTGTCTTTTTTTTTTTTTCCAAAATTATCTTTAATTTGCACTAGCCTATTTGTAAATGAAAGATTTTATTTTCAGATGTCAATGATAAGCCTGGATATAAAGAAAATAAAAATTCTGACTACAAAACAAATGTGTGCTGGTTTTCTATTGAAGAGTCTACCCCCTCTTTCTCAAATGGAGCCATTATCACCCCATGGAAGCAATTGCCTGGGCTCTGTGGAGACTCCCACCCTCTGAGGTGGTGGAGGGAGGGACGTTCTGCTGGGATTCCACCACTGCTGCTGAATCCATTAACCACCAGGATTGCTCCGTATAAATGGCTTCGGCTTAGCATTAGTGGGAAGAAGAGTAGCCAGCCTCTTTCACAACAAGAGAATCCTAAAAGGTGCCTAGCGCACCAGCAGCAACACCTGACTGTGTGCAGAGTGGAAAGTCAAAGGAGAAGACTGCAGCAGTCTCTCCACTGATGAATCTGCACAATAATAAATAAATCACAGCTGCTCTCACCATTTTTTTTCAAGCTAAACCTCTGAATCCCTTGCAAGCCGACCTCATTGGAGTATCTGAGCTCAAATAGCTGTAAGGAGCTACCTCTGGGATTCCAAACGTGTCTGTCCCCATGGGAAAGATAAAATCTGCAATTTAATGCTTAGAAGATGTGCTTGTTTTGGGTGCCAGAGAAGTATATGAAGAATAAGTCTAAAAAGGGAAAATTGATGGCTTTTATTGACTTTTTTTTCTGATACGAAAACACAGAAGGGATGTCTCGCAAACCATTGCAGATAAACCAGAGGGAACGGCACAGGTATGAACTGGAGGTGCAACACAGCATTGGGGCTCCAGCCCGTCGTTGAAGGGGCACAAACAAGGCATTTCTTTGTAGCAGGAGGTTCAGGGGGAGAGGGAGCTGCAGGGGTGCTGCTCGGGGCCTGGGGGCAGGAGAGCGGAGGCATCGCGTGGGTAGAAGGAGCCTGACAACACACAGGCTGTGCTCGGTTTCAAAGCAGGTCTGACACAGCTTTGCTGAATTTGGGCAGTTCCTCTTGTTCCAGCTGATTTCGGACCCTGCTGACCTCTCCTGTATCCAGGGAGCCGCTGAACCACCTGCGTGTGCTGGTAAATGGCAGACACTGAGTTTGCTCAAATTATAAGGGGGTGCAAGCCCAGAGATTACACAGATTTTTCTTTCTTCTCACTTAGATTTAGTCTTTTGGTAGAGTACAACAGAAGAAACAGCAGTGGTATTAGCAAAAGGGTGGGGGGGGGGGGGGAGAAAGACATGGAGTTTTTGAGGCG